GATCCAAAATCCGAAATAGCTCGGTCCAACCTGATTGAGATGAGTGGTGCACTCTTGGTTGGGATGATGAGTCACAAGTTCATCACTTTTATATCATCTCGCTGACTAAACTGCATTTTGGTCTTAAGCTTTCAACTGTCAAATACGACGAAAATGACGATGTCATGTTTTAGATTTGATTATGCAGACAGCTCCCCTTATCTTTTTTTTAGTCAATTTTGGCCTATGGTGCATTGCACCCTATGAATCTTAGTAACATCCTTGTGAAAAACAAAAGAAAGCACAAAATTCAACCAAACACAACTATAGGGTGCTAGTTTTATAAGAAGTAGGAAGCGACATGAAAACAATTGAGAGTGAGAAAAAAGAAAACAAAATAGAGGAATGAAGAGGAAGATTAAAAACAAAGGAGATGGATTATTGTGGCAGGTGTTCCGGAAACCAATTCAAAGCTTGAAGAAAACTTGCTAATGCTTCCTCAGCTTTTCTATTGCCAAGAGTGAGGTCAAGGCGTCCCGCATTAAAGCGGATTCGGAGAGATCGAAGGTGCCGTCGTAAAAAGGCCCGTTGTATTTTTGCCTGGGGACAAAAGTTCATGAAGTGAAATACAGTTTCCCTAGCCCCACAGTTGGGGCAGAGTGGGTCGAGAGACCTGCGGATGCGAAACAGATGTGTCTTCAGCGTACAGTGCCCCGATGCCAGTTGGTTTATCAGTGAGCTAAATGCAATGTTCAAATTCGGAGGAACTGAATTCCTGGGTTGGTGATTCGCCATAACCTGACGATGGACCTTCTTCTAATTGCTTTTGATCCTGAGGCTTTGCGAGGTAGGGGAATCTACTGCCTCCTTGGCTAATTCATCAGCCAATTCATTGCCCAAGACATCCCGATGGCCTGGGCACCACACAAAGGACATCTTCAAGCCACATGGCAACTCCGAGAGCGTTTTGTCAATTTCTTTGAAGATCCTCTGTCCTGGCTTGGGATTTAAAGGGTCATTGGTCCTCCTGATGACACCCTGGTTATCCACAAAAATCATAATGTGTCGTATTTCCAACTCCACAACCAATTCTTTGGCTAACCCGAGCGCCGCCAAGATACCCACTGCTTCACTCTCATTTTTCGACACCAGAGAGTCGCTTCCTAATGAATATGAGCTAAAGACGTTCAACGTTGGACAAACAGCCGCTTCAGCCCCCCCCCCCTTCTCTGGATGGTATGTCCCATCACTGAAGATCATCAATGAATTTGGATCTGAATCATGAGCTGAGACAAGTGACTTAACCAAAAGCAGAGCGGCCTCTTTAGATTTGTCCAGCATAATGTAATCCAAAACCCTGCAAACTATCCAAAGTCAAAAGACAGATGGATCCGTTCCCTTATCGAATGGTTGGTCTTTCAGTAAATCTATCATATTTAAAAAGATCGTTCAATACGGATTAAGAATTATCAATAGTTTCCAAATCGATTCATGAATCAAGAACCCAACAACTAATTTGATGACCGATTTTAAGATCAGCGGCCATCTGATCAAACCATTGATACCGCATGGATCTTCTACTACATATGCTAACACTGCTCCGTACTGTTGATCCAACTTGTTAAGATAGATTTATGGTTTAGGCCCTGTTTGGATGACAATGTTATATGGCATAAATTTTGAAGTTTAGCACAGTACTGTGTTATATCAATATGTTTTGATATATATACAACATGCAATTTGGTGCTGAAATTTAAAAATTACCTGAAAGAAATTTGCATTGAGTTAGATCAATGATGAGCTTTCAGAGTCGGCTGATGGAAGCCCCAAGAGATCAAATGGTTTTCTTTGTCCAGGTTTGTGAATTTGACATCTGCTGGAGGAGAGCAAATTTCCAAGCTCCCCCCCCCCCTACGAACATTCCAAACTTTGCACAGTAAAGTTTGAAGTCACTCACAAGTCACGAGGGCTGTGGCTCATCAGTTGTTGGATTGGTTCAATCAAAGAAGAAAGATTTTTTTAAAAAGTTTGGAAGATGCATGGAGATTGAATAGTTTTGGTCTCTCATTTAATTTCAGGGGAAAAAATTCAAATTTTGTCTCATTAGAAGATTAAATGGCCTCTCAAGCAAAATTGATTAGAGGAAACACATGCATTGATTTAGAAGTTTCAATTCATGAAGAGATGAAAAAATCATCACTATTTATTATCATGACAAACAGAGCTTGTTACTTGGAGAGCAATGATAAGCCTAATGTATAGTTGAGATACATTTTGGGTGTTGGTCTGACAATCTTTTAGATTATTTACTGATTTGAAAACACAAGCATATAAACATGTGAACAAGGATATCTGCACTACAAAAATTGTTGGATTGCATTGTGAAAATGTGATCCAACAATTTTTCTAGTGCTGTTGTTTGGCTAGGTATAGATTCACAGTTATGAAGATAATGAAATATAGATATTGAGCTTCCAAAATTCATGAGCTGCATAAGGGAAGTCTGGAAGAGGATGTGAGTGATCAAGCTCAACAATGATGGAGAATTTAAACAACTCCCAAGGATTTGTCAACAACTCCCAAGTACCGTCAACAGACATCCCCAAGTACCGTCAACAGACATCCTTCAGGATTCATTCCCCAAATGTATTGCCAGATGAGCGATTTGGCCATCCAATTTTTGCATTCTCTTTTTTTTAAATTGGGGGAGTCGGCCACCCAAACCACGCCTCATGCATGGGGGGGGGGGGGGTTGGAGTTGCTCCCATTTAACCAGAAGGAACCCCTTAATGGGACATCCTCCTGGTGAATGAGGTCCAACAATCTCATAAACCGGAAGGTAAGCCTTCTCTTTGATGCCACAGCCACAGGTCAGGCCTCCTGGTAGTGAAAAAAAAGTGTGCCTTAATAAAAAAAATGTGGTTTTTCCGTGGTTTGACACGGTTTCTGCGGCAGTGCTGCGTGCAGCACACGCAGATTCCGCGTTTTGACATGGTTTTATTAATTATACATGCAATATGCAGAGTTTTGCCTCCAGGGGGTGCCTGCATGAACTTTGAAAATTTTCCTGCAGGCACCAAACAAGAAAACCACTCACCACAATCAAAAACGGACTTCACCCCCCTTCTAAACCTTAATCAGTCAATTCTCATCCAAAATCAACAAAAAAAATACCAGAATTATTCTTTTTTTCTCTTCTTTGACACCACTGTATGAATCAATCTGTAAATATGTACTATATGTAGCTACTGTGTAATTTCAATGTGAAGAAAAACATCTGTAAAGCTAAGAATGAAAATAACTATTGATCCAGTAAGAAATGAAATATGGCTTGAGTGAGTGACTATATGTAAAATGAGGTGTAGAATCTAAATATGTCACAATAATGAAGGAAAAACAAGTGAATATACAGTGAAATAATAGAAGCTATGGAAAGGTATGGGTTACCACACCGGATTTGGTGCTCAGAGAGAGGCAGAATTCATGGCACGCTCTGCCAATCTTGAAGCAACAAAAAGAGCAAGAAATGAGTTTAAGCAATTGCTTGAAGATCTTAATCAACAATACTTGGAAGAGCTCATGTGGGGGTTTCAACCGGTTGACAAGGAACATGTACCTTGTTGACTGGAAGCAGCACTGGGCCGCTAAGCTTTTTGCCCAAAAAGCGTTAGCGTAGCGGTCTTTTTTGCGCGCTGAATTTGTGTAGTTTTAGCAAAAAGTTAGCAACTTTTTGCTACATTACGCTAACCGCCACTACACAGCCAAAGCAGGCCCTTTTTAAGGGCCGGCACGTGTAGCGTTAGTGTGGACGTGGTGGAATTCCGCTACGCTATGCTAAAGTTGAGCGGAATTCTGCTATGTTACACTGCGCTAACCGCTACGGTTAGCGTAGCTGGCCCAGTGTTGCTGGAAGGAACCCCTTCCAGCCGACCAGGCCAGAAGGAAAACCTTCTGGTCAACAAGGCACATGTACCTTGTTGACTGGAAGGAAACCCTTCTGGTCAATCGTTGGCCGCCCCCTCCAACCACCCTTAGTTTAAGGGGCGGGTATCCAAAGATACCCCCTCGGATACCCGCCGGCAGATGCAGATGGGCGTGCGGATGGCTGTTTCCCTAGAAAGAGCAGCTGGATATCCAGATGCGCCTGATTGTATTCCGGGTTGTTCATATTGTAATTTTCAGGATATCCATCACCAGGCCAAGGCTGTTCAGAAGCGTAAGAATTTGAGACCGTTTTACTTTGAGTAGATTGATGGTACTGCTCATTGAAGCATTGATTGAAATTGATAGTGTTCATGAGTGATGCAGTCAAGGTTGGTTGAATGTAAGAGTAGGTGTTGGGAGTGCAGAAGTTAAGGAGTCTTGATTAGTTTTTTGTGAGTGTGTCATGATTGGACCAGTGCCAGGAGGAGTGTGTGGCGGTCAATGAGGGAGGGGAGGTAGCGCGACTTGGAAAAAAAATCAAGGTTGGCATTGGCGGGAGTATCTGACAATATATTGAAAATCTCAGATATTCAGTCAACCCCTGCCATCTGGGACCTGAGGACCCTGGGAATTTGTGCTTGTGGTGGGTCTTTGGGGGGGTTTTGGGTAGGGCTCACAGGTGGGGTAGAACAACCAACTTGATGCTGAGGAATTGTCAATGCATGTCTAGCTCCACCAGTATTGAAATGTTCATACCTTTAAACATCACAAAAACAACTTCCATTTTGTCATCCAATGGGCAATCACTATCAGGCCAGAATTGTAACGATAAATCAACACCACATTTTTGTTGTTCATGTAAATACTAGAAAATATGTAACATACAAGGCTAATTAGTCAACGAGGCAATAGTTTTAGTTTTTTTTCATTCTTCTTGCACACAATACTCTTTTCAATTTTGATTTATTTTCTGGAGTATGATGGAAGTTTAACAAAAAATATGGATTTTTTGACTGAAAAATTGTAGACATCAAGGTTTAGAGTCAATTTTTTGGTGGTGGGTTTTTTTTTGGAGGGTGCACCTCTTATTCAATATTAGTTTAAATTTCATTTCTTGCTTAAGTCAATCACTATTTCAATAGCTCTGTTTATTTTATTTACAAGGGTTAACCATCTCCTATATGAGAGATCGCAAATGTCTGATATTTTGTATAATTTTTAGTTTTTATACTTTGAACAGAAAGAATTTTGGTCAGTAAGTTTGAAAATTTAACCTGCTGGAGAAATGATATGATGGAAGATGTATTCTAGATGATGCCATGGTATGAAAATTAAAAGTTCCACAGGAACTAGATTATTGGCATTGCATGAATTGCCTTAGGACAGAAGATTTGATTGGTCAAGTCACCGGACAAGAGAAAGAAAAAAAACTAGGACTAATGAATTATGCATCTGAAACTAGACGAAAACTTTCAAAATTCAGAGCCTGGGTGTGTTTTTTTCGACCTTTTGATTGAATTCATTTTTGGCTTGTACTGGGTTTATAACTGCTAAACCCATTTGATCGTTGGTTAAATCGGTTGCGAAGTACACATTCTAAAGGGGAAAACAGATCAGGTCATACTTTCTCTCATAAGATATCTGACTGGCTACTCACCTTCAAGAAAACATCACCAATCAACCATTGTGTAGGGCCACCAACTGTTCCTACACTGATACCACTGATACACTGTCCTTTTAGGTTTCTACCGACTGGCTGGAAGGTCAAGTCCACAGGATTAATGTCAAATACGACTCCACCGAAACTGAGGCCAACTTTGACCGTGTTGGTACATGGTATTCGAAATCCGCCCTTATTATCAGCGACCGCTCCAGGAATGTTGCTATGGACTATAGCCGCGTCTTCTGCGGGTAAGACCATCAAAGTAGTACCGGTATCTAATATCCCAGTCCGTTCGGTCAGGATCGTTTTCCCTCCGACTTGAACTTCCATTGCGCCTTCCCAGAAACCTTTTTTGTTCACGTTAGGAAAAATCGTCAAATTTCCACTGAACTTGGTTTGGTCAATCCCTCCCAAAGTTAATTGCCCTACAGCAAGATAGACATCAGTTTTTCAAGCTCTTTGTGAGAAATTGATAAAAACTCTGACCAATATTTTCCCCATCTGAGACTCGCCCCAATGCGTACCCAACGAAAGCTCCAGAGAGAGTTCCAGCTTTCGCCATTGCTTCAATTGGCGTCAATACCTTTTGGTTAGATAAGACACTCTTGGCGGTCCCCAACAGACCATCAAAAGGACTTTCCCATTCATTAGGAACAAACGACTAAATCAGTTGATGGCTTAAATCCGCAAGTTGAACTCCGAAAAATCGAAGAACGCAGCCCTCTTACACTTTCTTCCCGGTAAATTCGTCACTAGCGCGGGTTACTCCACCAAAGGCGTGGTTATTGAGAACTAGGCCTCCCATGTTAATGGTTTCTTCAACCAAAACGCCAACGACTTTTCCCGTGCCTGGTCACAGAAAATAGCGATTAGTTGATTTGTAAACTCAATACAGCGACTCCTAGACTTACCATAGGTGATTTTGAAGGGGTTCTCTGTACGTTTAAAGGTAGAGGATTCGGAGTTCAGGGTTGGATGGTTGCACCCACGCGAAGGGTCTCTGAGATTACGGCAGTCCTCCAGCTTCCGAAATGAAGCATACAATCATTAAAAAGTCTTGTTGGGTGTTTATGGATTTCAAAACTTACATGAAGCCACAAGTCAGCAGAACCGGTGTCCGCTACGAGCCGGAATGTTGCCGGGGGTGTGCCGACTTGCATTTCGACAAAATAACCAACATCGTTTGCTTCGATATGAAGCCCAAGCGAGTTGGCAGCAGTAACTGGGTTAGCTTTGGTGACTGCTCCGGTCTTGGCGGCAGCAAACGCAATAGCTGGGAAGCCTGGTGATTCAAATTGTGACTGTCGAGCAACCAGACTTCGTCGGGAAAATGACGTTCTTTCGTATTTCCATCCCACGCTCTCGGCCCGTTTACGCAGATTGCTCTCCAAGACGTCTTCGTCAACGGATTTATGTAGAAAATGGGCATGTCTTTTGAGAGCATGGTTGAGGTGTTTTTGGAAGTGGATTTCCGGATGCAACTCCTTATCTTCCTCTGATATTTCCCTACGATAGAGTGGAAGGCTGACAGATTTACCAAGTCCCACGGTGTTCAAGTTTAAAGGAGGTGATTGCACTGAATCTACGCTTGGGGCTAAAGCGTCGGTACTGAGAATGGCGGCATCAGTCGAGGGAGGTACCAATTCTCCGAGTGATCGACGTCTTTGAGCCGGTGTAGATGGTAAATCCTGAGTGATAACAAGTGGATTTGCGGCCAAGCCCATATGGAAAGAGCGAACGAGCGGTAGTGCGTCTTCATCGGCTAGATCTCGAGGATGATGAACAATTTTTGAACGTCGACTTTTGGGATTGGGAAGGTCTTGAGTCAAAACGCTAGGCTCAGCGGCCAAACCCATTCTCACCAATGGGCTTCGCTTATCAAATCGAACCCCCAGTGCTCTAGCAGTACCATCTTGTTGTCTTAGGGATCGCGATTTTTCTCCTGCCTGGTGGAGTGCTCGAAGTTCTTGCTCGAACTGTCGTATCTGGCCCTCATTGCTCTTTTCATTGGAGCTATCAGCTCTGGTAACACTGTATAAGATTGATATACAGGTGATCCAAAGGGCATATCTGAGTAGTGACTGCTTCATTGAGTGATTTAACAATTCTTTTTTTTTCTTGTTGAAAAAGCGATCCACGCCGGGCCCCTTGGGATTGAATCTGAATAAATTTTGTGATATAAGGAAACGAGAAGATTCCTTTGGACGGTTCTAGGTGTATTTTCGTAGCTTTCCTAATAGATATGCAGCTGTAGTTTTCGATCGAGAAACGAAAGAGGGAGTCAGTGAGCTCTATCGAAGATGACACCTGGTCTAACTTCAATACGACGTTCGGCTGAGCAGAGAAAGAAGGTGGCAACCGCAAAAGTATTAGGGAAATAGGCTCATATGGCAGTATCGAGGTGATCACCAAGGGGTTAAGTCCTACTGGGTCGGTTGGGTATCCGGAGGGCAAAGTGATGAAGCAATGTGGGGTGAACAACAATCATTCAAATCAGGTGTTTTCATACTCTGCGACATCAGAGTCATGCCAGCCTTTGTGAGGCAACCGAGGAAAGCCAGATAAGCTATCGCCAGGTACTACTCGTAAAATTTTCGAGCTCGGACAATGCTCGGGACTACTAAATAGAGTAAAGTTGGCAATTCAGCTACATGAATGAATATATTGTAGGACTCCCTTTGAATGAGCGCAAATGGGCGTAGTATGCATCTTCGATGAAAGGAAGTCGGGCCTCCGTTGTTACCAACAAAGATGAAGCATATTTCAAATAAGCCAGCTAATCGATTTCTTTGCGAAAGAGACAAGCCGGTCTCCTAGCGATATACATACCTGCAAGCTACACCCACCCATTATCCATAGCTCATCAAAAAGGGCAGCGTCGCCAGAGGGGCCGGCAAGGGCAGAGTCAGAGGTAACATCCTCAATATGCGATTGTTTTTTATATGTTGGCATAAAACCAAACCGCCGTTACTCTGGTGATACACATACTTGTTAATGATCATTGGCCTGAACATCATTTGCCCCAGTAGATAAACTCTTATCACTTTTTGATTCCTCTGAGTCTGAATGATTTTTGGTCTTCCGTACATATTTGCGGAAGCTCCGAAGCAGCAGATGCAGTTTAATAATTGTTTCTCGAAGTTAGTAGGGGCTGTATTGCGCTCAACAAATCAACCCCCCAGAGCATTGGAGTATTATTTATCGCATTAATTTCGACCGACCATCCGGCTTGATGGGAACCGCATGGTTACCCCCACGTGGTGATAAGTATATCTTTTCTACTTTGGAGTGACTATGATATTTCATCTGAAAAGCTAAACCGTGGGACTTACTGAGTCTGAAGTCTTCTGCCCTAGGAAGTTGGCCCTTGGGTTACAACACAATGGAGGACTTCCCGTCGCCCAGATGGCTTTAAAGGGACTGGCTAAGAGCATCTCCACCGCGGGCCCTATATCGGGTCCCTATCCCACATATTTATATGGACCGCAAGGCCCAAAACCACAACCACCGCGGCCCCTATGTGGGGCTAGGGGTAAGGATGGGTCGGCTCAACCCATGGTTCAACCTGACCCAGCTGGAATCTGGGTTGGGGTGGGGCGGCACAAGCCCGGATTTCCCAATTTTTTGACCCAGTTGGGTCAGCCCACTAGGTGACCCATGGTGGGTTGGGTCAGGCTTTTCCAAAAATGGACTACACATGGGGCAACCCATGAGGAGGCCAAGTTTCAACATGCATGCTTTTGTTAAAACTTGCCTGGCATGCTGAGTTATTGACACGCGGGAGTTACAACTCTCAAGTCCCAATCTGAGACATGAACAATGATAGTACAATCAACCAGAGTTATAGCCGGCTGATGATGGATCTAGTTGTATTTCTTTTTTTTATTTTTCTCTATTCTCCATTCACCTTTCTTTGTTTCTTAATCTTTCTCTCTGAATATATACACTTGTTAAATGATGCAAAGAAGAAGGCATCATGCCCCCCCCCCCAAAAAAAACCCCTCCACCTAAGAAAACCTCTGCCTCAAAAAAAATAATGGTAGCCCCATGGGTCAACCCATGGGTTGACCCACAATGACCCATGACCCAAGTTGTGGGTCTTGGGTTGGGGCGGGGCAGACGTTTTTGAAAAAGTAACCCGGCCTGACCTGACCCATCTATTTTTGGGGCAGCTTGGGTCGGCATTTTTTTGCCCCGACCCAACCCATCCTCACCCCTACCCTATAATAGGGACGATGGCCAAAAGTCCCTATTGAGCTGTATGTATACAGACTCGATAGGGCCTGGCTGATTGGCCCTATGCCGCGTGAACCTTCTGGCATCGGAAGGTTTCACGCATCCTCAAGTACAAAACAACTCCGACCGATTGGCTTTCACCAACCATCAAGGCTGATACACCCGCTAGCGGTGGAAAAAAAACCCTGGCTTGGTCGCCATCCACTTTTTCGGGTCCCTATTGGAGGCATATAGGGCCTTGCAAATAGGGCCTGCGGTGGAGATGCTCTAAACTTTGTTTGGTGGTGAAATCTTGAGGTCAAACAGATGTCTTCCCGTCGCAGTTTACAACCCTGCCTGAATCTAATTTACACCCCCTAGATCTCAATTTTTGGAATAGAAAATTTGTTTTTCACAAGCCTTGTAAAGACAACTCTCATGTGAGCTGGTTGGAATTATGATTAAGTTGTTAATTTAGGAATGGGGAGGGCTTAAAAAGCACTCTAAATGGTGAGGGGAAGTCCTCCAATTTTCACCAGCAAATGAGCTTTAGCCCTTCCTTCTAAATTAACAAATTCAGATGACAGGAAGTCCTCCAGTAGTGGGGTTTATGATTGAAATTTATCAAATTTTAGGGCCCATTTTAAGGTGTTTGTCAACACTTTTTTCAAAAATTAAAAAGTTGTGCAGATTGTTCAGTTAAACCCCCAAAACTGTTTACCCTGTAAAATTTTTGTAATGTTGTTGATAAACACCTTAAAGTGCACTCTTAAAATTAATGAGTGTCAATCATGAACCCCACTAGTATATGTGACATTGTTCAACAAAGATTTGGTGTTTGTAAAATTTGCACTAGGGCTAAAAGGGAGGATCTGATAAGAGACATGAAATGTTCAGGATATGTGGCAGATGGGTTGAGGGGACAGGGCCCAGCATAGGATTCACTTGTTTAACTATCATGAGTCTTCAATCATTCATTTATTTCACTGGAAACATTTGAGAGACTTGGTAAACCTCATCACTATAAACATAGCATTCTAAGCTTCTCTTTTGAGTCTTTTCAAGTGAGGGATATTGGCTCAGTCTACCCAAGTATTTTCTATCTTATTCTTAGTGAAAATCAAATATCCTTTAGATTTAGATGTGAAAATTCACATATTTATGAAGCCACTGAAACATTTGTCATGAAGAAATATACAAGTTTTAGCAAAATCATATCTAGTGATCTACATACTACTACTATCTTTCAACTTCACTACATCTTTCCTGGAGAGATTGCTTGAAGCAGACAAGGCAGCAATTTTTTCCTTATTAACTCATCCAACTGAGCAGTATTTATTCCATTTTTCCAAATGAGAAACAATGTGGTAGCATCAAATATGAGGGAATGCTTGTCCCTGAGTGGTAGTAAACAGGTTGAGTGCAGTGCCCAATCACTTTTTGTTTGTGGTGCAACTATGATTTGCATGATTGAAGAAGCCTTGGGATTTATTAAAGAACTGGTGAAGACCTTTCCAGAAGTATTTGATGCTGCTGATGGGGAATTTGTATCTTGGGATCCAGACCAGATAGTGTCACAAACAGAAGCCCAGAAGTTATTGCCAGTTTTATATGTGAAGTTGAGGGGGTCTTCAATGATTTCAAAACCAGAACAACAGATTTGCATGTCTTCTTCCTTATTAATTTTTTCAAAATGAACAGGTGGTCTGTTCCTGGCAACAATGAGCCGCTATGCTATGATATGGGCAAAAAGTGTGTGCATAGTGGCTTTTTTGTGCAGAAATTGTGGAGTGTTAGCAAAATGTTAGTGGTTTTCATTGTGCAGAAATCATATAGTTTTAGAAAAACTTCTTCAGGTTTTTTTTCTAAACTATGGACTGCTAATGGCCACTATAGGGCCAAAATGCTGCTAACCAGCATGTTAAGTCCCAGCATATCAGATGCATTTTGGGGGCATGTACATGTAATGTTAGCACAGATGTGGCAGAATTCCACTACACTATGCTATTATTTATGGAATTCTACTATGCTAAGCTGCACTAATGCTACAATAACACAGTTAGCAAACGTGACCCACTTTATTTCCTGGTTCCCTTGTCATTGATTTTCAAATACACATCCTTTTGGGGGCCTTCCAGTCTTCCAATGACTGGGTATGTTTGTTTTATCATGATCAATGCTCCCAGATTCAGAAAAAACATAAAAACAAAAGTTTCTGAGAATTTAAAATATACAAGCTGAAGAATGAACAAAGAAACACTACAAGCAATACCCATTTTGCCCCAAAAATAAATGGCAATTTGGGTGGGGGAAAATGGATCAATTTTCTGGAAATTTTTTCCAAAATGACTCAGGAGTAGAAATTAGGCTAAACTGAGCTATTTTAGCCCAGAGATAGAAATTCATCAAACATTCCAAAATGAATTTTTAGCTCATTTGAGACATTTTTATTTTTTGGCTAAAATAGCTCATTTTAGCCTAATTTTTTACTCCTGAGGCATCTTGTAAAAAAGTGCCAGAAAATTGATCTATTTTCCACCATCCAAATTGCCATTTTTCCTTGGGGCAAAATCAGTATTGTTTGTAGTGAAACAAGAAATACATGACATCCCATCAATCTTGAGCCAGAAATTTAGACCCTGTAAAAGTCAAATTTTATAAGCTTAAGAAAGTTGATTGGCATTGAGTCCTCACCACAAATAAGATTTACAATTTAGCTTGACAGGGGCTAAATTAAGAAATCAAGGCTGAGGGGAAGTCCTCCAATTTCAATGAAATTCTGGCCAGCATTTCAAAAACCTGGCAGAACACAAAAGGGGGGTCCAGTCCAGAGGGAGACTTGCTGTTATAATTCTTCTTTTTTTTGTTTTATTTTCTTTTTTTTTTGGTTGAAGAATTTGAGTTATTGTGTGTCTTATTTGTATTCGCACATGCATCTTGTACCCCAGCTATTGTCATCCATGTCTTGTAGACACCATGGGGAACGTGCCTCAAGGGCTGGGGGGTCTTAAACTATGGGCAGCGGTTTGGCTTGCCCAGCGGTGCGCACTTGTCGTTACCCCTTCACACGCACCTGTGTTTGATCCTGAGTACCTGCATCAACCCTCAACTCTGGGGTGATAGTCTTCATTGGGGTGATAGTCTTCATGGCGAGTTGAGGGTTGATGCAGGTACTCAGGATCAAACACAGGTGTTCGTGAAGGGGTAGCGATGAAACGTTGACAGAGGTCTGAAGAGCTGCTTGCCGATACGGTTATGAGGGGGTGATGATGATGGTTGTTTGAGTGGGTTGAATACTGAACTTGCCAGCTTTGTGTCTTTTGAACTGCGGCACGGTCAGACTTGATCACATCAAACTATTCAAAAATTATTTGGCCAAGAACTGTGGAAGTTACAGACCAGCTTAATGCAAGTCCACCTGTTGGGAGGCTCACTTTGCAACTGGCTGGGGCCCCTTGCCAATCAGACCTGCCCACACCCTTCACTTACCATGAGAGGTAAGCTCGGGTGCGGATGCCCAGTCACCTGAGCGGACTGGCTGCTAGCCTCTAGCAAAATGACTTGAGGCTAGGCGTATGTGGTACCCCCAAACAGTATCCTACTGCTGTATTAAAAAACCAAAAAGACACCCAGGAAAAGATCAAATTCTTCTCCCGCTTGAAATCTTTGGAGAGTTCTGTGAAGTTGTGACTTAGTAATTGATGAATACTTGGATTGCAGAAGCTTGATTTTCAACAACATTGGCAATGGTTAGACTTCAATAAGAGCAGATTAATGAGTATTTTGGGTAATTAGCATAACTTAAAGTTAAGCTTCAGTAGCACATTGTTTCCCGTGTGTAAATTAAGAATTGGATATTAATTAAAAAACGAGTCATTCTGACGGAATGGAGGTGGTCTGGTGGAGAAGTAACTGGGCATGAAGTCAATCCTCCGTCTGCGACAAGGATTCTGAAATGGACGACATTCGATCTGAATTTTGCTCGTCCTAGCTTTCTCAAGAGAGGGTCCCTTTTTGTCTTGATTTGACCGGATTTGACTACAAGGTGGCCCTTCTTTATTCAAAATAAAATTAGATTCTTTTTTTTTTGAGACTTAAGAGAAGTCGTGAAATCTCTATTGAAGAATTTGTAGTAAGCAATTTTCACTGACCGATCTTTACATTTCCATGAAGAATATCCATGTCTCCCAAAGAACTCCCTGAAGCCTTATTCGAAGGACCAGGATCCTGAGGACTTTCATTGACCCATGGAAATCCAGGCCAGGAATCGTCGGTGCAATCGCTATTTGAATTCTCTCCGGCCTCATTGGATCCCATCTTGTTTCCCCTAAGCAATTTATTCACTGGGCGGATCTGGCATTTATTCGAAGTTTTCGGTGGATTGTTATATTCTTCAGAATCCCAAGACACGAATCCATCTGATAAGATTGGTTGAAACTTGGATTTAAGAGAGTTCACTGGGTCTGTTCTCGAATCTTTAGCATCAGGATCGAATGTCACGAGTTTCCGTCCTGATTTTAAAGATCCAGCCGGCGGTAGAGGATTGATACGATTGAAGTTGTTTTCCGTCCCTCCTTTTAAGTGGATTCCAGCTGGGCCCTGCGTGATTGATTCCGGTTCTGGATTTTTCCGGTTCGAATCTTCAACTAGCAAACGACTGGAACTTGGTAATTTTTTGGAGGGAATATCGAAAGGAATCGCATCACGAAGGGGGGACAACCCGCTTCGGGTTTGGATGGAAATTTGGTTGCTAGTTGGGACTCCTGCTACAAATTCTTCCTCTCCTTGTGCGTCCTTATACTCTGAATAGGAATCGATAAAAAGAAAGGATTAAATGCCTGATTAGAATTTACTTCACAAGGAATTCAGGTATTATTCGCTAATTTCGCGAAGCTCACTATCTTCCTCGGGCGCGCCCCGATTTTGACGGCCTGCTTCAGAATCGTTAGTCACAGGAGAAGTTTTAACTTTCGAGTGCCGTAATGGAACATCCGCGCTAGCAGGAAATTGGATTTCGGGCTGGGAAAGCTCAATAAGAGTATCGCTTTGAATCGCCGGGCCAAATGTAGTTGGGTTTGAACTTCCGCTGTTGGGCCCAGGGTTTCCTTTGTTTTCTGGAGGAGAAATTGATACCGGGCCAGGTGGTCTCCCTGAGCAGCTTTTGAAAGGAAAAGATCGACTGTTCTCAGCAGGATCAGGGAAATATTTACTGATCAGGGGGATTTGGGTTTGCGGAGAAGATTGTCGATGTTCGTTATTTAGCGCGGGCTCTCTTTGATTCGCCGTTTCGGCACCTACTGCTGGTCTGGGTGCACCAAGATGTTTCTCCGTGAGCTTCGTATATGTGCTGCTTTGAGGTTTGCAGGAGGGCCTCAGTTGGGCCCGTTGTTTGGCGGACTCTCTGTGTGCCCTATATCTCAACAAGCCAAATTTCAATTAATTTGTTGATGATAGGGTAAGGCAGATGTTTGATCGACTAACCTAAACCTGCGTTCTAGTATCTCGACTGAGGGAGCAGGCGCTTGTGACGACATCTCAAGCACCCGAATCTTTCTGCGCATAAGCTTCTTTTTGACTCGAGCGTTTTTCTTGAGGTGTCCCCAGTTATATCTTTCTTCTCTCTCAAGAGCGACAGGGGTTAGGATACTCAATTCATAATACTCCTTGGCGCTGATAAGTAAGTTAGAAAGCGGAACCAGCTTTTTCGGCTTTTTGTCAGACCGCTTCTTGTCTCCGTTATGATTTCTACTGATGGGCTCTAGGGGTGATAAACGTTTCTTATGATTGCGAGGCGACATACGTTCGCCATTCCCATCCAGTTGAAACAGCTCATTCCGCCAGCCAAGAGGGTTAATATCCCATGGGGGTCGCTTGATTTTCTTGATGCAACTCGATTCGGGTTTGCTACGCCCATTTTTCAATTGGTCGCGTGCCAAGAGTGTAGGTTTGATACACTGGAGATTATTTATGAACGTTTTGCGTTTTTCGGAATTTGCCACGTCCGTCTTTGAAAGTGCCGGACTTCTAATACCGTCACTACTCGTCAGCTCTAATGATGGAATCAGATATTCAGCCAAGGATTTAGGAATTCAAATTTATCTAAAACCCAAAATTTCCCTCATCTCAGACTAACCTAGTTCGCGATGTGATGAAGACTGTGAAGGTAAACATCAGTCAAAGTAGTTCAATGTGCGAACATTCGAGAATACATGCTGCAGAAGACACCCACGACCAGTTTTTTTCCAGGGTTGGACTCATCGGGGTGGATGGCCCCAAAAGCTTTCTCGAGCCGTTCTTCCCATCCTGACTTAGAAGAGACGGCTCGAGCTTGGCAGCCTTTTTTTCCAAGAGTGGATGTCGAGGAGCCCTGCGCAAAAACACAAGTGCGATGAGTAACTCCAGAATGAGCCGAGGCGACTTGATCGGTATCCTTGAAAGGTTAAGAAGACTTTGTATTTCAAACTCAATGAATCAGATGAGAGCTGTAGATGCTCACATTCAAGCCGAGCAGGTCCTTTCTATATCCTCTAGACGACTGCGGTGCAGCTGAATTTGTTTCGGATTTAGCATGTGCGATGTGACGGCGTTTGAAGGAGTCGAAGGACTCGTCATCCGTTGAGCAAAGTCTTCTCTTCATCGTGGTGATGAGATGGCTGGTAAAAGGGATTGCGCGTCAATTGATTGATTAAAATGCTACAAATCCACAGGCAACGGGATTCAACCCATGAGACCACGCAGAGCATGTCTTTGGGGGCACGAAGTTTATCATTCTTAGATTCTTGAAGCGAATGATAAAAGATAATAACTGCTGGAAGAAAAGTAGCGCTATTGACCACATGGCAACATAATTAGTTTGATTTCCAAACATACCTTCGGCCGCTTGTGTCCGCTGATCAACCCGACTCAAATACAAGTATTGAGGAGTCTGAGGAGAGTGGATTAGGATAGATTGTGTCGGCACGTTGATAAATTTTAACTTGTCAGTGGGGAGATGGTCATCAGACGATTGACTTGTAAATGCTGCTCATAATCTGGACGTCCCTTTCCCAGTGTGCTCTCTTGATGAGCAAGCACCCACCACGGGGGAATTGGAAGAGGGTGACGTCATAGAAGACCTCCTCACAGCATTCTACTGCACCCAAATATGGGGAGAGGTCAACAGGCCAATGGGAAGCGGACAGTCGATCCCCTTTCTTTCCAAGCCATACAAATTTTACTTGTTGATTGGTCAACTAGTCATTATCATTTAAGCAGGTCGAGGGGCTTTGAACGGATTTACTATCAATCTCATTCCTCAACTTCGTCATGAACATCAGGTCGCTACCACCCTTGACTTTATCAGGGATGGCAAGGATCTCGCAGCATCTATCCACACGTTCTCACTTGCTTGCTGCTCGTCCGGCTCTTCCTGACTTGCACCGAAAATATCACGGAGCTCCCATCGGCCAACACCAAACGACGGAATTCTTGAAGGTAAACACCTCTCTAACTAAAACTACGAAGATAGAATGCAGCTATTATTGAATGTCTTGTTGTTGTGGAGAATCTGTTTGACCCTTCATTGTTATCACACCCTCCCAGAGATTGGTGGACGCTAAGGAAAGCAAGGAATTGTCCTTTGGTGAGATTGCAAAAAGGATCGGAAGGTAATGTGGATTCTTAAGCCCCATCTACTAACGTCAGTAAAATCATGTTTGGTCGTTAAAAATCGTTTTCCTGTTTTGTAAAATGCCCTACATCTTCAAACGAATCTTGTAAGGTCTGAGGTGTGGACAGCTGCGTTGTTTTACGGTCAAGCAAAGCCTGAACAAACAGACCTCAATAAGTTGAGCGAGGTACTCGATATTCCGGAGCAGGTATTAAATTCGATCTATTCCTTCGAGTTTTTTTTTTCTCAAAGAGCAAGAACCAACATAGGCTTTGATCTTATAATACAAAGGACTTCAAAAAGGGATTCCCAAAGTCTTTTTTCCCAATTCGGTATGTTCTTCAATTCCCTGAATTTTTTTTGTTGTTGGATCACGAAGCGTTCTTACCTATTGATTGACTTTTGATTCTTCTTTTTGGGGGATTTTACATAGGGGCGCTGGCTTACAAATTCCACCAACTGATCCGTTGATGTATCGATTATACGAATTCCTTATCGTCTACGGGTTTCCATTGTAAGCAGATTCAAAAAAATTCAGTCTTTCAGAAGCGTCAAATCTAGTTTGTTTTCCATCAAGAATTCGCTTGAAACTTTGCTCAAGTGGTACTGGCCCTCATTCAGGAAATCCATTATCCACGAGAAGTTTGGCGACGGTAAACATATTTTTATGCACTTTTTCTATGGGCAACATTTGGTAAAGCTGGCATTGAATCACAAGCTGATCTGGCTGGATCAATTATGACCTTTCAGGTATAATGTCTGCGATTGATTTTACATGTGAAGTTAAGAAAGTGGAGCAAGACAAAGCCGAGAGGTATGTAATACCTTCTTCTTATAATTTGACACGGCCGGCCATAATAACAGACGAGGGTAGTTACTGACATGCCTCAGCTCATCTCCTTTGTCCTGAGAAAAGGGTTGTGATCACGCTCAATGGAAAATGGTTACCTTACAAACGTTGGTAACCAGAACGCGTCATTTGATATCTTATCGTGTAGTATGAACTCCTAAATTTGGCGGCAAGTGAAGCTCAAGAATCATTGATGCGATTAGTGAAATGATCATTCCAATCGTGCGATTACTTCATTTGAATCATCCCTCAAGCGGCCCCAGAGCTGGAGATTCCAAGAACCTAGTGATGAAATCGCGGAAATATGAGATTTGCACATGAGATGAGGTTGAGTCAATCCGTTAAGCTAGCAGAGATTACCACGTGGTAGAAGAAACAACATGACATCCGAAAACAATTTTGATCTTATTTAGAATAGTTTTGTATATGCTTCTTGCCTCAGCTCGCACATGAAGTTTGTTTATAGAAAGATTACAAATAAGTTATGGTTTTAGCACAAAGATTGAGTACAAAAAGAACACATCGAGCATCATGGATTAGTACGAAGAGAAAGGCGAGGAAGAAAAAAGGCATACAACATTTATCCACGAAAGCTTTTCTAGTGAATCTATGGAAGGTTTGAAATTTTCAAGGATTTCTTGTTCAAAAAAGAAAGTAAATATATGTGCAACAGAAATACTAACAGGCAAAAATTGTTTTGCAAGCCTCCAGCGCACTTCAAAAGAGAAGAAAAACGAACATCACAGGGAATCATTGATACCATGGTAAATCTAAGCAATCCGCCAGATTACAAGTCGACCAAGAGTTTCGTTTGAGATTCGGGAAGGTAAGCTTGAAAGCCTCGACGGATTCGAAGCTTAACTCATGCTCAAGAATGATTTTACCGACTGACTTGTCGGGCTGATTGATGTGTCCATTGATCATTCCGACTGATTCCTGGACCCCAAAGCCGTTCATTGGTGGATCTAAGAAGTCCCCTAAGGCGAAGGTCTGGTTCAATGACCAATCCGATGAATCACAGTTCCACAGTGTCGTTGTTAACCCGAATACATGCTTTGATTATCACGCGATCAGTTTTCTCTCCGGAGATATTTCGCAAGCAGCAGGAGTGAAGGTGGACTGCTATACGGCAGGACATACCTTTGCAAGTGCTCTCACGCGGTTATCAACATCACCGTAAGGTGGGCGATAGTATAATGGAACTAACCCAGTCAGATCGTGAATAATCTGAATCGTCCATCCCAATTCGCCGAGGATTTCAAAATCGCTCAATGTGGTCAGGTGAGCATGCGACCATGTATGAACGGCAAGGTGGTCACCTCGTTTCCAAGCTTGTAACGCCAATTCTGGATAATCACGGACATTTGATCCTACCTGCAAAAAAAGGAAGCGTCATTTTTATAGGATTTCGGACTGCGGCATAGCTTGAGTGGAAGGAGAGTTTGGTCACTAACCCAAAAGTGAGTAGCGGTCTCGTCCTGTTGGTCTAAAAATTTGTAGAGTGAGGTACTCGGAGGGAGCGGGCCGTCATCAAAGTTGATCGACCAAGTATGATTCTTGCCCAGCCAAATGTCTTGCAAGCCGATCCCGCGATCTTCGGTCTCACCTCTCAAACAGCTGGCTCGGCGATAGCTACAAATTCCATTCGGATCTGAGTTGAAGATCGTGCCCTCTGGATATTCAGCTAGCCCCGTTTGCATCGACAGTTTAGCTTGAGGATTGGTCCAGTTAGTGAAGAGAGGTGAGTCAAGTTGGTTGGAAGAAGAGATTGATCGCAGATAATCGTATCGTTTAATCCAGCTTTCCAGAGGTCGAGGTCCAGCTGGTTTAGAAGGTGGGTAGAGCATTTTCCATTCCTTAGAGCCTATCTTTGGGCGAAGGAGTCCGTAGTAATTCGACCATTGTCGATTCCTAGGAGGTGGTCGATTCCAATTGATTTGGTGTGATGGGTGTTCGGCTTCAAATGAAGGGATCAGCCCGAGATAGAGGGAGATGATGAGAGTGACTGATAGGATGATTAAACAGGTGAGGATCAGGATTGTCGGTGACTTTTTGGCCGGACGCTTGAACTTGAATTGATGTCGCCGATGGGTTGAAGTGGTAGTCGGCAAGAAACTCGAGTGGCCTCCTTCCTCGATTTCACCATCTTCCGCCGACTCATAAGACCGTCGCCGTCCTGGATTGGAGAGGGAATCTTTCAATAGCGAGAGTTCTTCCGATGGCTCCTCCGCTTCTGATTTGATCGATTTGCCGGTTCTGAACCCCTTGAACGACATCTTGAATGGAAAATGGGGTACGAGTAGCACGAAAGTCGATCAGCACTATATAATGAGGGCAATCATCAACTTGAAAACTCACGACGACTAGTTTTGGAAAGGCGATTCCTATGGTGAAGAGATGATGGTAGTGATCAACTAGAACTCGATTGGATTTATGCCATCAACACTTCGCTGATGCTGATCATGTGTGGTCCAATTCGATCAGGTGCTATTTAATTAATGATGATGGTCAAAGCGGGCAATTTCCAACGAGGGAGTCGAAGCAAGAATCGAACAAATCGCCCACAGAAATAACGTACCCGAACAGCTCACACATTTCCATTCAGCGAACTCTGGCCCTGATGTGGATCGCCCGGATAGGCAATTCCACAATTGTGTACCCATCAGTTAGAATGTGCAACCACACTGTTCACGTCATCTACCTGGTCCAGCCAAGCACAATTACAACCCCACACCGCGTTTTTTTCGCGGCGAGAACCAAACTTATCAGTCCCGCCCCGCAAGTCTACCTGGGTCCCGTCGGCTGCCGGTGATGCCTACAGCCTAGCATGGCTCTCGTCAGCGACAAGATGTCGATATTTGACGATAAGCCGAGGTGACGACACTACCAGACGATAAGCCGAGGTGATACAGTCCTTCCGGTCTTACCTGGCTGGCCGTTTTGCGTCTCACCCACCACGGGGGAATAGTTCCAGTTCCGGTTCTCAGCAAGAGCTGGCGGTAGACTTCTTTCATCTGCTATGTTGAAGGTCTCGAGATCGTAAGAGTGGTCACCTCGAGAGGCGTCGAGTTTTCCGCGTCACGCTTCTCCGACTCTCTAGCCGCACCACATGACTGTAATGTATTATCGCTGATTTTATCCCTTTCTATTCATGCATGAGGAGATAATATTCGTTGTACGGGGACGTCTCGTCACCAATCCGCTGTTTGTTCTACGGCTTCTAGAAACAGAACTCCTTTTGGCAGCTCTCAACCTCTCCGGATGAGATGTTTGACGTGAAAATTCAGCCGTGCAAGTGTATGATTTCTCATGAGGCCCGCCCTAGCCCGCCCAATGCCTCCGGCGGAGGCGCTTTGCTCCATCCACCAAGCTACTCCATGGCCCCATGTGGAATTTTAGACTTCCTTTTCAACATGTGTATATCAGGTCTTGGTCTGAGGTTGAGAATATGGAACGGGGCGCTGATCACCTCACTCCACCCACGATCACTAGAAAACAACAGGGCTTCATGTTACACATATATTGCAGAGTAATAGCTGTAGCGGATAACAACGCTGATGCCCTGAAGTACATGTCAATAGGTGCACGGTATCGACCAGGAGGAAAATAAAAGATAAAAATGACAAAAATAAAATTTTTGATCGTTGTAGGTATCATCCGAGCAAAAAGACGATAATATGTATGATACGATCTACGAGAAAAAAATGATCTGGTTCTTGCTTGACAACATTCAAAACATAAACATGATTCCAACGATTTGACATGGTTTTGAAAAGAACACAGGTACCTTACTTTTAAGAGAAAAGAATCACATACATCCATAGGGGGCTTACATGTGATCAATGGCGGGGAACTATGATGATATCAGAATCAAACAAAATAAAGTATCCTAGAAATGAAAGGTCGGGTCAGTGGGCTAGCCAATTGAGGCGGGGGAAGAATAGTGAACCTGCTTACGCTTATGACTGGTTCAGTTTTGGCTTTCCTTGGGCCTCTCGCAAAACGTTCAATACCTCAAGATAAAGTGCCGCCGCGGGGCGATTGTCTCTGACCGAGGCATCACTCACGATTTTAGCAAAGTTGGCGACGCATTCGAGGAGAAGCGGCGATTCTTTGTATCGAGGCGCAAAATGCATCATAAGGGGGTGAGGATCATGGAGGTGTTGGGCCTTGATGCACCCAAGGTCAAACCTGGAGTGCTGATTCCAGTTTAACACACCAATTCTTTCGCTATTTTCGTCAGGAAAATGAATGCAAAACCATACAAATACCCAAAAAAAGGATTCCAGGTCATCCACGTGACTATGGTGATTTTTGTTTAAAAGCAAACTGGCCGACATGAAGACTTTTGTGCCAATCATCGTGTGATGTTTGTCATCATTTAGTTCACCGTGAGCAATCGCCACATCTAGGTCGATCAGGAAAGATTTTTGACATGGATTGTTTGCCTGGTCGTTAACCATGAGATTGTTGATGGAGATGTCCCTGTGAAGATAGCCAGCAAGGAACAAACCCTGGTGTCCTATGATACAGCCCTCGAGGGCCTCCAACAGACGAACCGGAGTTTTAACTGTCCAGATGGGCTGCCCCACGTCTTTGAGAATGATCCGTCTGAGAAACCGATTGTTGAAGACATTTTGTGGCTGTTTGGGACCACTTCCAAGTGTGAACGTCTTGCATTTGTCGAACTTGAATTGTCTGCGAACGTGAGATTTGATGTCGACTCTGTTGCCGGCCACTTGGACGTCTTCATGATGATGATATCGGACCAGATGAGGAATGTTTAGGCCTGCCACTTTGCAGAGCATATCACCTTCTTGTTCGTGTTTTTCAGGTTGCCATGAATCTTTTATGAGATATTTCTGTCTTTCATCTCCATGGAGATGCGCTTTCCAGGTGGTTGTCCCACGTCCGCAGATTCCCGACGCTCGGAAGATGGGGCGGCTGTCTATTACAAGTTCTTGGGGATCATCTTGGGTTGTGTATCGTATCTTTCGCCATTCTGATGTGTTAGAACAAGCCTGCCCGTCGACGTCCATGAAGGTTGGATCGAAGCCGAGGTCTTGATGATTGCACGTTAATAACGATGAAAGGAGGCTAAAGAACTTCTCAAAGTTTTCTTTGTTTGCTTGGACGTCAAATGATTCAGAACCGATGGCCCCGCATCTATCAAACTGCCAGAGCTGCATCGATGTTCCACACAGTGTTAAGCCAATGACATAGCTTCGGGTAGGCTGATGATTGAAGACCTGGTACACGTATTTGGCCAAATCAATAGCAGCTTCTCGGGCATCTGATGTGTTCTTCTTGAGCTCGAAGGGGACCATAATATTTTGAATGTGATTGCCAGCTTCGACGTGCCGGTACATGATTGCACCATCCAGCCTGCGTATCGCATAACGAATGTCCTCCATACGCGTGGTAGGATGACTCTGCCAGCCACGAGAATGACTTTCCTCGCCCAACTGTTCGAAAATCGAAGCGATCCATCGCAACATAATATCCTGCGGCTTGTCTTCTAGTTTTTCTTCACACTTTTTCTTGATAAAGCTTTCGTGGGGTTGCAGGCGTAAAGTGGGATCGATGTGTTGTATGTTGATGAAATACTCCACCAAGCCTGGCACATTCGTGTACATTGATCCATCCAGTTCCCGGTTTAGCGCAGGCATGAATGAGGAATGCTTTGTGGAAGAATTTGTGAGGCCGGATGTCACCATGGAGGATAGTAGAGATGAGTGGGGGGCGTTGAATTTTTGTTCGATGAACTGAAAAATTTCTTCATCAGATTTGACTTCGTTGGCGAGGATGACATTGATAAGAGGCCTGTAAAGTTTGTAGCGACTCTGCTTATACAGCAATCTGATTGTCAAGACTGCACCCTCATGCTGTTTCCCGACATCTGAGTCGTGGAGTTTTGTTGAAAGGCGAAGGATCCGGGTATCCATTTCTGCCAAAGAATAGAAATAAGAACATGATTGATTAGATTGGTTGATGATGAATAGTGCCTGGCTCACCGCTGTCCCTAAGCTCGTAGAATTGTTCGACCGTGTTGATCTGAGATGATGAAGTGAGAATATTTCGTAAGCTTTGTTGAAGGGATTCTGGTTCTTGTGCCATGATGATGTTGTCGACGGGGTGTGTTGACTTGGTTTTCGGCTATGTACTATCTTCAAGATGGCTTCGAGTGAACTGGTTGGTTGGTTGAAGGACAGACCTGCCCAGGTTTTCTGGTTGTTGGGAACTTGGGACGGGGTGAAGAAGTTTTGACTAGATTGCTAAGAAAATAAGGACCAAGGTCCCGTCGGCTGCCGGTGACAGGAACGCGAAGCGCGACCTCCTTCCTACCACTGAAGTGTTATAAGGCTCGCTCCGACCTCGTTCGCTATAGCCTGGCATGGCTCTCGTCGACGACAAGATGTCGACACTAGACGATATGCCGAGGTGAAACAGTCCTTCCAGTCTTACCTGGGCCGCCGTTGTGCGTCTCTCCCAACCCGGGGAAATATTTTGCGCCACAGTTCCGGCTCTCAGCAAGAGCAGGCGGCAGACTTCCTTCATCGGCCATGTCGACCGCGTATGTAGTAGGTCTCGAGGACGGAAGAGTGGTCACCTCAAGAGGCGTCGAGTTTTCCCCATCACGCTTCTCCGACCCTGCAGGCCGTGCGAAGAAACTGTACTGATCACTGATCAGCCGTCGATTGTACAACAGTCCGAACGCCCTAATAGTAATAGCCCGTCCCCCCCTCGAGCAACCCACTCTAACTGCACCATCTGTTCTACGGCTTCTAGAAACAGAGAGCCTCTTGGCAACTCTCAATCTCTCCGGATGAGATGCTTGCCGTGAAAAGTCAGACTTTCCGGTTCGCGAGTTGAGATCTGCCAGCCGTACAAGTGTATGAAACCATGCCTCCGGCGGAGGCACTTTGCTCCACGTGACCAAGCTACTCCGTGGCCTCATGGGGGGCTTTTAGACTTCCTTTTCAACATAAAATCAACAGCCATGCCGTGATGGACAAACTGGCAAACAAGCCCGCCCGGCGCTGCACGCAAATGGGAAAGCCGAAAATAGTCTACATATGAGACCTATGGACCTACATGCCATACACTGTAGAAGTGTAGTTAGAAATACATGTGAATGCACTCCTACAGTGCAAAAGCGGTAAATCCCGCTCCCAATCCCGATCCCGCAATCCCGCAATCCCGCAATCCCCCTCCAGTCAAACCGATCAAAGCTCGACTTCAAAAATAAATAAAAAACCACCCTTCTCAATCACCCCAATAGGCATTAGGCCTTAGGGTTAGGGATTAGGGATAGGGTTAGGGATTAGGGATAGGGTTAGGGATTAGGGATAGGGTTAGGGGTTAGGGAAAAGGGTTAGGGATTAGGGATAGGGATAGGGATAGGGGTTAGGGATAGGGAATAGGGATTGGGGATTGGGATTGGGGATCTGTTACCGAGCAAGGGTCCTACATATTTTTTGAGGGGGGGAGGATGGCGGGATGGCGGGATTGCGGGATCGGGATTGGGAGCGGGATTGTATCCCAAACCACCTTTTTTGCACTACAGGAGTGCATTCGGATGCAATTCTTACTGCACTTCTGTAGTACAAAACAGGTAGGTCTAAAGGTCACATATGAAAGGTTTGTCCGTGATACAGCATTCATGGCGTATTGAAATCGCTTTCGACCACTGATTGATCTCAATGGCAATTGTCAACGAGGAAACAGACCCCAAGGTTCCCAAATTCTCGACTTTTGATCCATATAAACCAAGCAAGTCTAGTACTTCTAGCCCCCTGCAGCAATACCACAACGCAGCAGTCAATCCCATCAATCTACAGCTTTCAAGTACGTTCACCCATCCCAAATATACCCGTAGTCCTACTCCAAAAAATTAGACACAATGCGTTCAATCTTAGCTGCAGTCTTACTTTCCCTGGCTATATTTCGTGATGTTTCAGTAACTGCTGCTGGTTGCAATCTTACTATATCTATATGTACATGTGAAGATGGTACTATGATCACAACCCCCGCGTTGAATATACCTGGCAAAAAGACGCATCCAGTAGTTACCTGCAGTAAACCAGGGACAGGATGCTATTGCCAGCGTAAACCTCAAAGCATAGAGAACTGCGGTCAAATTTAGCGTAATAAGAGTATCATCAAATCTCTTCAATAATTAGCTCCAAGAAAAGCATATGATCTTCATATTCTCCAAAATTTTCGTTTTCTTCCCTCCCTCCCTCTATCTCTCTCCCTCTCGTTAAAGTTTTGATCATCTACCGAGGGCTCATTTGTACCCTTCTTTAAGTAAGTTTTTTTGGGGGTCGTTGTATCTTCAAATGGTTATGACTTCAATCCAAGAGCTAATTATTCACTTTTTATATTGTCGCAGGTTTCTTCTTGTCTCTGCAAAAATGGCGCTGTTTTGTTTTCTCAATTTTGAAGGTATGTGTTTGGCGACGATTGGGGTGTTACTTCTTTGACTTTTCCACTATTGACCATATAGTCTAAATTGATAAAAAACCCCACCTAGATTGATCGGTAAACCGCCATCGCAGGTCTTTCATGACGATCCGATCACTGCCTAAAGCGATTTCTCTCTTCCTCACGATACGATCATTTCTCCGAACATTACGGTGTGAGAAAAGACGACGTCTAGGGTCCATTCGGTAAACGCGAAGAAGAATCATCTGGATCTATTGCATTTCTTCTATCGTCATCTCAGTGTCTATCCGTCTTAGGAGTTCCCTATCTCCCCCAGTCTATGGAAATTTGTGCTTTTGGGACCACTGGATCGGTGTCAGGTTATGGAGAAGAGAAGAAAAGAAAATTTGATCAGACAAAATTTAAGCTAAATGTTTGCATTTTTCCCACTGAGCGATACCGAACGTTCTTCTCCACCTTGACTTGGCATGTTTTTCGGTCACAAACGTAAAGCATATGTACAAAAATTGCTTCAATTCATAAATATATATTAATTTTATTCCGATGTGTGTTAATTTTTAAAGCTCCTATAGGCTCCTATGCGAACTTCGAATATTCCAACTTGCTTTGAGTACAAAGTCGATACATACATACATACATTACATAGCCATGTTGAGTGGGGGGAGTCAAGTCCGCCGAGCGCAGGTGGGCAAGCCGCAACTTTTCCTGAAAGGTTTATCCGTGATGTATTTGCAGCCACCGGTCGGTTGATTTGGATGGTAATTGTAAATGAGAACATCGGTCAAAGTGCCAAGTTCTCGGCTTTTGGTTTGTATATATAAACCCAGCGTGTCTACAAGCGCTTCTTCCCTCCAGCAACTCTACCACATCGCAAGTTTCTCCCATCCATCTACATAGAAATCTTTTATAAAGCATTCATTCAGACAAACTTGCAGTCCTATTGGAAAATAATAATGCGTTCGGTTCTAGCTATTGTCTTACTTTCCCTGACTCTCTTTCGTGGTAGTTTAGCAACTGATCCTAAGAAGTGCAGAGTGCCAAAGTACACATGTCATTGCGATGATCATAGTGAAATCACATCACCCAAGGCGGCTGCACACGACAAAGGGCAGTTCTATATCACCTGTGTTTCTCCTAAACCAGGAGTTAAATGCTGGTGCGACCGCAAAAATTCAAAGTCAAAAAGAAACTTAATCCATTCAATTTAGCATAACCAAATTATCATCCAATCGCTTGATTAGCTCCAAAGGAAAACATCCAGTCCTACCCCATATTATCTTCCATTTTCAATCTTTTCTTTGAATCTCATGTCAACAGTCTTTTTATACGCTGTGGATGTTTCAAGTTTTTGTTCACTTGCTTTTGGTAAGTTTTTTTCCAGGTCATAATTCCAAGTGATTACTAATTGAATCTAAGAAACAATTAATCACTTTCTATGTTGTCACAGGTTCCGTACTTCTGTCTGCACGAATGGCAGTGTTTTGGATTCTCAGCTTTGAAGGTATGTTTTTGGAATCGATTTGAGTGTTACTTGTGTGATTTTTCCGCTGTTGACCATGTAGTCTGCATTGATACAAAAAAAAAACATCTAGACCGATCGGTAAACTTGGGATGATGCGAGCCACCACCATGACGGCCCGACTGTCTTAGGCGAATCCTCTCATCCTCACGATGCGATCACTTCTCCGAACATTACTGCGTAAACAAACGTACCGTCGTGGGTCGATTCATTAGGGGGGTTCACGATAGCTTTTCACCAGAAAAGTTTTATCGTCCCACCAGTAGAGATGCGCATGCTGCGCACGTTAAAATTTTAGGGAGTGTTTAACACACCAGCATTTATGCACCAGGAAAATTTAGCAATGCGAACGCACTGGTGATCACATCCCACCACTGCATAATCACTTTCCTCGTTTCCACCTCCCGCCTCTGGTTATTGACCGGCATTCCTCCAACAAAAGGTGTCCCACGCACGCCAGCAACCCTCCGACCCGAAGAAACCTGTTCCACGCACGCCAGCAAGCCTCCGACCCAAAGAAACCTGTTCCACGCACGCCAGCAACCCTCCAACCCGAAGAAAGCCTCTCAATCAACTTACCAGATTTTTAAACCAGCATCTCACCAAATCATCCGATCCCACACCATGCACAAAAACAGTGAGCGTCAACAGATACTCCGAGATATCTTCATGATACTGGCATTTCTCCACCAGCAGGAGACAGACGACCTCATCGACTCAACGTTAGGAATCCCCACGGTGCCATCACTTGGGAAAATATTGGCCCCTACCAATCCAGGCCGCGCTTTCGTGCTGGACTTTTTATTTGACAATCAGGCTATGATATCCGATGTCTTTGATTTGGTTCTCCGTAATCGATACTTGAATGACCGATCGCCGGGGAGAACACGTGAAGAATTCGACTTGGCCCAGCTTTTCAACATGCGAGACGAGGATTTAA